ATACCAATGTCGATCGATCGGAATTGGATTCAAGAGTAAACCCCCAGTTGGTAAGCGATGATGCGGTCTACGATGGCGCACGTCGACCCATAAGCAACCTATCCACTCGGGCCTTGAAGACACCCAGGTTATATATAGCCTTCAAGAAACACAGACTCGGGCAAAGAATTCTAGACCTTAGCTCTACTAATAACGAGTCACAGAGGGACTCTTTCTCATGAGCAGTGTGCAGACGCAGCGACAAGTAGAACTTTACTCATTATTTTACATGAATTAATCGGTGTTTTTAATTAATTTGGTTATTATTACTTTTTTAAAACTTTGTTTTCAGGCAACTATTGCCTATAGATACATATATACCATAAATACTTATTAAATATTTTAATGTATGCAATTGATGTTAATAAGTAAACTTAAATCTATGTCTTATGTTACGTCTCACAATAATAATTATTCAAAAATTATTAATATTATTATTGTTTTTACTAAGTGTCTATTTGTTAATAGTAGCAAAATAATATAACTGTCTGTCTATCATCTTGATGACAGATAGACCAACAACAGAATCTTGGTAATATGAACACCAATGTTATTGTTAGTCTTCCAAATGCTAAGAAAATTGATAATTTACATGAAATATAAATAATGAATAAATTACAAGGGACGATGCAATGTGTGTTTGCTGATTACACCTAAATTTCTACACCGAATTTGATAATGTTTGATACGGAAATAGTTCAGATAGATTTGATTGTAAATATGACTGTAGACTATGTAATTGAACGTTAAGTTCATGTTTTCGACTGCCTCGTTGGCCGAGTGGTCGCAAGTGCGGCTGCCGGGCAAGGGGTCTCGGGTTCGATTCCCGGGGTGCTTACTCTTGAAACCAATCTCAATGTCAATGCAATTTCAATCCAATAAAATCTCAATAATTATTCAATGTCAAAACTATACAACCACAATTTGTGCAAATTTTTTGATTTTCTTCTTTACTAGATGTCCTTCAAATCGGATTGTGCATTGATTACAAAAACAAATATATATGTGTTATTTCCCTCTAGAAATCGATTTGATTAAACTTATATGTGCACTTTCTGGACATGACAAATATGTATTCCATTGGTTATGGGTTTTGTGACAGAAAACGCCATGTCAGAAATTGATTATCAACTAGAAACTAGAATAGATTGAATATCAACAGTTTTTTTTGTAAATATTTCATCGTTTTCTAAGATTAATCTGATATGTTAGTTATTTTTTAGTTAATAAGTGATATTTATGTAATATTTCGTTCTAACAGCTATATATAGCTTGTTAGCTTGTATTTGTACAGGTAACATAGTTAGGTACATATTTATTTTGTTAGTTAAATTAAAATTGTTTAAGTACATTTACTTTTTTGGTTTTATTTCTGTGATTTCGTGTCACGTTTGTAGAAGGCGTTGATAGTCTGTACAGATATTTTTTTTATATGGCATAAGCCGGTAAACGAGCAGACGAACCACTTGATGGTAAGCCATCGGCGCCGCCCATATACCGTCCTTTTGGGAATTGGGAATTTGAGGATTGCAGAGGATTCGGGGATTCGGGAGACGGGGACAAGAGAGGGGGGGGGGGTAATTGGGCCTCCGGTAACCTGTTATACACTCTGTATAATAAAAAGGCCAGAATAAATACGTAAAACATTTATTTAATACATTTACTACAACATATAAGGTATATATAATGTACACAACTATAAATATGCTCCTGTTCTGTATAAAAACAATAAATAGTTTTACAAAATCTCGTATAAACATCAATTAAAAACGTACGTTTGTGTAGGGTATGTACAATATTTCAACTTAATAATAACAAATTTTAGTATGATCCCCGGAGTAGGCAGACTGCCTCGTTGGCCACTGCCAACCATTTGACCCCTTGCCCGGCAGTCGCACTTGCGAAAGTGTTCGCAAGTGCAAGTCTCGGGATCGATTCCCGGGTCGGGCAAAGTATTACTGGTTTATTTATTTTAAATTCTCAGTAGTAGCATGGAGTCTGGAATTGTGCCCGGTATATGGCAATAGGCTCACCCCCTATTACATGGGACTCATCAATACATAGTATAAAACAAAGTCGCTTTCGCTGTATGTCCGTATGTATGCTTAGATCTTTAAAACTACGCAACGGATTTTGATGCGGTTTTTTTTAATAGATAGAGTGATTCTTAAGGAAGGTTTGTATGTATAATACATGCATATTGCACCCGTGCGAAGCCGGGGCGGGTGGCTAGTAACATATATAGTGAAAAGTGGGTGTTACATTATACAGTGGCATTAAGTGCCGTAATGTGGGGTACACGCGTCTCGCGGCGCCCGTCTGTAACCTGGCGCCCTAAGCCCCTTGCCACCGCCTCACCCAGGCGGGAGAAGTCATTCAATTATTTCCCCCCTCTTAAAAAAAGGCCCTTTGTCAAGTTTGCCTTAGGGATAATACGGCCCTGCCAGATATGTATGTTAAGTATTCCTTGAATAGGAGGTGAACCTAATTACAATAGGGTAGTTTCCTTAATTATATTTTAATGTCCGTCTGGTACATTAATTTAAAACTTTAGACACGTATTTTTTCTTTTCTCACAAAATTAAATACTTTCGACGACATTTTAATGTATAATATCGTGTGACGTCACAGCGTGTCACATTTTGTAGCACGTTATGACGTAACGGCCATTTTATCTAACTATTGCAACTTAATACGAGAAAATAAAAAATACGTGTCTAATATTTTTTCATTACCTAACTTTCGAACTTAATTAGACTTTAATTTTGATACCCTGGAAACTACCCAATTAGGAAAAAAGCACACTTCATTTTACTAATGTATTTAGAATCTTTGTATTTGTGTGCTTAACTGTCAAATAAATGCTTTTTCTTTCTCCATTGGCACTTATTTTAAAGAAAAATAACTTTGTTTTACATATGAATCAGTTTTCAGACGGAAGACATTGCATTGCTTTTGACATTTAGACATTAACCTATTTTATATAGGGTTGCCAACCGTACTCTTACAATAGAGTATTGTCCTCTATATCATGTAGACTCGTATAATCTATAACAGTAATATAGTACACAAGCTACACATCGAGCTTTACACAACCAGTATAAACTGAACGTTAAATGTGCGGAAAGATGATGCGACGCGACACCAGGATAAACTGGTTTTGTATAGATTGATGTGTGGCCGCGTGTACGCTAAAATACTCTTTGTTACACAATGTCTACTTAGGTAACTAGTGCCATTCAGAGGCCTTAGTATGAGTTTGTTTTACGTTTAAAGTAATCGTAACGAGTACGCGTTCGGCGCTCTGATTGGTTGGTTCATTTGTGCTGGCCAATCAGAGCACCGAATGGATATTCATTTCGAATACGTTACTTTAAACTGAAATCAAAGTCGTTCTAAGGTCTCTGTAATAATATTAAAAAACCCATGGTCAGAATAAAAAAAGTTTACTATTTATTGTAAAGTAACATATATTTTTTTAATTTTTAAAAGAAGTTGTTGGTTTAGTATCACTGATTCGGTTTACTGGAAGAGTTTTTTCAGTCATAAATGTAAAGTGGCGCGAAAAGAGAAACCGAGTTTCATTGAAATTGATCAAAAATGAGCTCTATATATACTTATATAGATTTAGAATTGGAATGTTTGGTCTCATACAATTCCTTTAAAACAATGATAAAATTGTTATATACTGCAAAAAGTACAAAAAATACCTTAAGTAAAAACGCGGGTTACTCACGTGAATATACTGAGAAAAGCTCTACTAGTTTCGAACCACAGAGGGGTTCTTCCTCATGAGCAGCGTGCGCGGTCGCGGCGAGTGAGCTGCGCGACGTCGCCGCTAGTAGAGCTTTTCTCAGTATATTCACATGAGTAACCCGCGTTTTTACTTAATTTAGTATGTCTCACGATAGCTATTATAAAAAATACCTTTTTAAAACTACAAAATAAATGATACTCTTTAGTTGCCTCTTATGAAATCACTATTATATTTCTTCTAAAAAAGTTGACAACCCTAATTTTATCTCCATTTTAGGGTCTTCAGATGTTTACAACATTTATTTTGTAACAAGTAATATAAATTACATTTTTAGTTTTGTACAGTAATTATTACAAGACTTACTTGCTGAACATAAATAATATTTAATCTTACAATATTCGAGGATTCTCGACCACATTAGGAGAAAAGATTATGAGCCCTAGGTTAATCCGAAACTAATCGAGCTTCCTCGAATCAGTACATATGTACAAAAGGTCCACTTATAACAAAATATATTTTTATTAAATTAACAATAAAAGCAGTTTACATACAATTTAAAGACAATGTGTAAAATTAGTTTAGCAACTATTTAATTATCTGAATATCTGTGCTACTGCTAATACGAGGAACATAGCTTAAAATTAGAAATAATATAATATGTAGCTTTATAAGAAATATAAATTATCACAGACTTAATATAAAAAATAGTTTTAAAGCCGAAAAGATACCAACTATTAAAATGCAATGCGTTGATTGGTCGAGTATATCACACGCGCCGTTAATGGCAGGCAAGCAGCTATCAACGGCCTTTAAAGTAGTGGGACATAACATATCATCACGCCTTTTATCCTCGAAGGGGTAGGCAGAGGTGCACATTATGCCACTGTACAATGTAACACAAGTAGTGGGACCTGCCGCAAATATAGCAGTTTTAATTATTATTGACCCAGAGCCTATTATCCCTAAGGCAAACTAGGCAAGTGCCTAGGGCGCCGTAAGACGCGCGTGCCCAATTGAGTACTTTCCCTAATCAAAAATAAATTATTTCGACTGTTCAATACAATAAAATATTAAAAAATAATCACACTTTCATTAATTGATTTTATGACCAACTTAAGTTTAGTATCTTTCCAGCAAATTTTTGAGAAATAAGTATGCTGTTTGACGCAAAAAAAAACGTGACGTCACAATACACAATCTCGTACAAAATTCATAGAAAACTGTCGTTTTTGACAATTCGATAAAAGTATTGAATTTGACTAGTTGGCAAGTACCCGATTGCTCATTGAGTGGCAGCAGTGCCAAAAACAATTAAGGGCGCCTACAAAGTGCTTGCCTAGGGCGCTCTCTTGGTTTAATCAGTCACTGAGTGGACCAATAAAAATTACTATCGCGTTAAAAAAAATTAAGAAATTCAGCAATGTATTTTCCCTACGGCTGCTTGATGATGATAGCAACTTGCGTCACTTAGCATAATCTTTGACCAAATAGGCATATAGTATATTTTCGGCTTTATAACACACAATAAAACAGTTAAAAATATTAGAAGCTTATCCATTTACACATAGAGACAGCTAAATAAATAATATAAATCTTCTAATCTACATATTGCTGGCTCAAAATTTGTCATATAAAAAATGTATTTCGTTGAAATAATAATTGACACTTTTTAGGCATAAACACCTTGGAAAAACCATCGTTTGTAAACCTAGGTCATTAATTTTATGAACCAAGGCCTTGTTTACAGAGATACGGCGCGTCGTGAGCAGTAATTTTTTGGTTTGAAAAGAGCGAGAGAGATGGCCTATGCTTTCGGTCTAACGCTATCTCTTTCTCGCTCATAACGTCTTAACTACGGTACTATTTTGAGCGAGATAAAGATAGACCGAAACGTCGTTACCTCTTTTTCTTTCGGAGTGCCACAATTCTCGTCTCCTAGGCATGTCCATTAGTATATGTCTATGAGTCTGTCGTACAATGCCACCGCGGGCCGCGTCACCGCTTGCACAAACATATTAAGGAGGCTCTACACATTAGGCCATCGTTTGGCCAATATAGTGAATTGTAAATTTCCTTTATGTACATTTCAATAAATTGTAAAAACTCAGTGTTCGTCCACGCCATTGTAATACGAGAACAATTCACGCGAGACGGCGTGACGGCACCGTCTTTATCAACGAGTAACAAATTGAATGAGACCCCAATGTGTGAACGCCGTTTGTGGAGCGCGCTGAGATCCCTTAATGTGCGCACGAAAAACTGACAACATTCGGTTGGTCGACCAAGGCTGGTGCGAGCGTTGGTCGGTCAACAACATAACGCCCAGTTGGCCTCTATAATGTAGAGAGAGTGTGTAGTTTACACAATGGTCCAACGAGCTGGTCCAATGTGTAGAACCGCCTTTATGAGCAACGAACAACGTATGCCCGACGCACCATGATGAATGAAACCTTAGATGCCTGTCATAAGTAGAAATTTTGGCAAAACCTTCTCATGTCCATAACGAGAAGACCATAATCCAACAACAGACTGTCACTGTTGATGCACTGATGTTCATTCTTTCTTGTTGACGTGGTCAAATGCAACTTCAAATACCGAATTGTCTTATTACAGTAACTAAGTGGACTATACGCTCCGAACCCAAACAAGCCTTGGATTGGAATCTCTACGGGAAAAGGTAGCGTGGCCGACTGGCCGTCCTTGGAAAACCTGGCATTGCACTGTGAAGGCAGAAGTGCTGTGTTCACAGACCTCTGTGGACCTCGGACCCATTTAGAGACAGGAGTTTATAGCTTATCTTACAGTTTCAACTAACTCTTCTGCACAATCTCGCTAGCAGCCAAACTAATTCCATGATTAGACAACAAATGACTTTTCAAACTACATTTTTGTACAAAAGTCATGCTACATACCTCGCACTTGAACCTTCTATCATTGTTGTGTATCCGCATATGTTCCCTCAGCGTATACTTCCTTGCATAGGACTTGTGACAGACTTCACAAGAATATATCCGTTCTCCTGTGTGCTTCACCATATGAGCTTTTAATGCCTTCTTACTGAAGAAACGGTACCCGCACTCCGTACACTGACAGTTCCGTTCCATCAAATGACTCTTTTTAATATGATACATTAACAAACTCTTTAAAATATACGATTTACTACACACGTTACACTTGTACTGAGCTTCATTGTTATGCACTTTCACTAAATGTTGATTACGTTGATAGTAACTCCGGAAGGATACGTTGCAATACGGACAATTTGATATATTTCTCGCTCCTAAATGCTTCATTTTCTCATGGTAATGCTTCTTAGTGCGGCTAGCGAATACTTTATCACAGTGGTCGCATTTAAAGCTGCCTTCTTGGTGAGTAGTCCGATGAGCATTCAAAGATCTCTTTGTAGCAAACGTAGCGTCACACAATGAGCAATTGTAATTACTATAATGCTTATTCATATGTTGTTTTAACATTTTAAACGTCTCATAAGTTGAGGAACACATCACACAATCATAGACTTCGCCTTTCTTCAGTTTGAACTGTAATATATGATCTTTGATATCAGAATGTATGACTATTCCGTGATTCTTTGTTATATGGTCCTTGAATGCAGTCAGGTTATCCATTTTTTCGTGGCATACCGTACAAGTAAGGTTTGTGACGTCGATTTTGACGTTGTATTCTCTCATATCAAAGTTGGATTTGAAGTCTAGACGTTCTTCTGAGTGTACTGTGTCTGTATGTAGTCTTAGATCTGCCGGGTCTGGGAAGGACAGCTCACAGTACCCACAGGAGTACCCCAAAAGGGTTTTATTTGTAAATGGTGTAGCGTTCGAGTATTTCAGTATAGTTTGAAGGTTTTGTCTATGTTTTTGCTTATCGTGGTGCGGTTGTCCGGTCCAAAGTAAATTGATTTTAGTTTCCATTGGTATAGTGAGTTCGAAACTCTGTTTGGTTTTAATTTCCAACTTCTTTCTTGGTTTTATGTCTGGCATTTCGCAGGATTCTGGAACATAAATATTCGGGAATAAGTGTGACTGTTGAGTAACGGGTCTCAGGTTTTATTAAAATAGCAATGGGTTGTTATGTTATCTCTTTTATAAGGATAAGCCAGTAAACGAGCAGACGGATCACCAGATGGTAAGCAATTGGCGTCGCCCTTGGACACTTGGAACACTAGAGGCGTTACAAGTGCGTTACCGGCCTTTTGGAAATTGGGAATTTGAAGATTGTTGGGGATTCAGGGATTGGAGATGGGGTGAGGGGGTAATTGGGCCTCCATAGGAGTTTGAAGTTCAGGATTATGTTATGGATAGGTTAATCACTAATTTCCTATTGGGAGATAACATAACTGTTAAAGAGTGGTGTTACATTTTGTTGTTTTTTTTTTAAAAAAAAACGTTGCCCCACTTTAGGATTTTCTCCTGTATCGTGGGTACCTTTACAAACATCCAAGTTCACATACACATCACACCCAGACCCGAAACAACAATTTGTGGATCACACAAAGTGTTGTTCCGTGCGGGATTCAAACCCGCGACACGTTGCATGTATATGCAATCTGCAATGGGCTGCAAACAAGCTGTCGAACAGCCTGATAGTAAGTAACTCAGTTGAAGTCAAATAAGTTGTTACAAAGTACGGAGTTACTAGTACGTTATCACTGTCTTTAGGCTATATCTATATATTTTTCATTCTGTTTTCTTATAAATAAAACCTTTTTGATATATACACATAACATAACACCACACATGTAACACCCACTTTTCACTATTTATGTTATGAGTCCCATGTAATAGGGGGTGAGCCTATTGCCATATACCGGGCACAATTCCAGACTCCATACTACTACTGAGATTTTTTTTTAAATTCAGTAATACTTTGCCCGACCCGGGAATCGAACCCGAGTCCCCTTACCCGGTAGTCGTACTTGCGACCACTCGGCCAACGAGGCTGTCTTGCACTTTTTTATATATTAATTATTTAGTACATAAAAAAACTCACTGATAGAAGTAGCAAGTCTAGACACTAGAGACTTAATCTTCTCATTCTTCCACGCGGACTCAGATGGCGCTGGTGTCTTCTTTGAGGTACTAGATTTGAGTTTAGCTCGTTTCGTCTCTGTCTTCTTCTTTACTGACACACTCTCACTTTTGACCTTGTTTGGTGGTGAATTGCGCACTGAAAATAGTATTAGAATAACAATTTGTTTACCACGAGATTCTTTTTTTTTCTTAACCATATCCCTATAGCAGCGTCCTGTCGGAGGTTATACGCCGGGGTCGTACGGTCCATGGCCCTCTACGGCGCCCTTGTGTGGGCGCCGAACCTGATGCGGCCGCCCACTCGGGCGCTGCTCACGTCACAGAGTTATATCGATCCGAATGATCCGCGGGTACCGCACGATCTCCGGGGAGGCGGCGAACCTCCTTGCCGGATTACCGCCATGGTATCTGGAGGCGAAGATGCTCGCGCGCGTGTATGGTATTCGCGTGGAGACACCCACCCAGACGGGAGAAGTCATTCGATGATTTTCCTCCCTTCAAGTGACGCGTGCACCAGACAAGACACGACCTTCAGTAATGAAGAGAACAACTAAGAAGAAGTCCTATAGTAGATTTTTTTCATAGTTGTGCTGCTGGTTGCAGTCTCCTAGCATAACAAATTAGTCAATAAACCAACGTCAATGAAAAAATAGCAAAACTTCACTCACCAGCATCTGCTAAATAGTAATCATCTGAATCATCGTCACTCTCCTTCGGTTCCACTTTAACTTCAATTATTTTAGCTCCTGAAATTAAAAAAAAATACTTGAGCAATATTCAATTACGGGAATCCATGCGATCTTCTGGCGGTCCGCAGTTTTCTGCGATTCCGCAGCCGCCGCAGTTGCGGTTATGGCCCGCAAACTTGGCGGTTGATTATCGTAAAACGGGCGGTTAAGCAATCAGTCGAGTTTCAGACCGGCCGTCCCATTGCGATCGCCCTCCAACCAAAGGCAGAGCGCGCGGGTACTAGCGGGACTGCGGGCCGTAGCCGCGCCCGCCGGTGCAGCGGAAGCCGCAAACAATCGCAACCGCCATGGGCGTAAAACGCGCCGTGAAATTTGCTTCTATTTTTTACATCAACAGCCAATAAATGCCCACTGCTGAGCGAAGCCTCTTCTTACGCTTGCTCAGTGCAGGTTGGAGATTACAAACTAACTTATAAATAGAAATTATAAGGCCAGGTTTCCTCACGAAGTTTTCCTCCACCGTTTGTCAGTGCATTGGTGTCTAGATATCTTAGAAACTCATCTACATACATATCTGTATTCTACAAAAGCTGCGGGCCCGCTACCGCGACTGGCGCGGGAGAAAATCGAGCCGTATGTCCTTAGTATAAGTGTTACTTTGTAACGTATTTGCAGAAATGAATATAATTCTGAAATCTGAAGTGTGGGAGAGCCATGCTTCGGCACGAATGGGCCGGCTCGACCGGAGTGATACCACGGCCTCACAGAATACCGACGTGAAGCAACGCTTGCGTTGTGTTTCGTCGTGTGAGTGAGGTTACCGGAGGCCCAATTACCCTCCCCTTCCCCAATCTCCCCAATTCCTGAATCTCAACAATCCTCTAACTCCTAATTCCCCAAAAGGCCGGTAACGCACTTGTAACGCCTCTGGTGTTCCAGGTGCCGATTGCTTACCATCAGGTGATCCGTCTGCTCGTTTACCGTCTTATGCCATAAAAAAATAATCATAATAATAATTTCATTTCATCATCATCAGCAGCCGGAAGACGTCCACTGCGGAACAAAGTCCTTACAATTGTAAAAATGTAATCTCACTTGTTTTATCCTCCTCCCCAATTTCCATCGACAGCAACTTCTTAGAGAACTCCTCGTCAGCTTGCAGGACCTGCTGCTTAAAGTTGACACAGCTGCGGAGACTCTTGATGCACTCCTCGCAGATACCGGCCGGTTTTATATTTGAGGGTGTTAGCTGTGAAAACAATGATTATAGAGATTAGTTACTCATATTTGTTTTATGCAAAATTGCATGAAAGTTATTGTTATAGAATGTTCTCAGGTTGTATAATGTATTAAAGTAAAGTATTCAGTATGTAGTAATAGGTTCACTCAATATTAAATGAGACTAACAAGTGTGGGAGAGCCATGCTTCTGCAGGAATGGGCCAGCTCGACCATAGTGATAACACAGAAAACTGACATGAAACAACAGTTGTACTGTGTTTCGTCGTATGGATGTAATCTCAAAATGCCAGTAACACATTTCTAACACCTCCGAAGTTCCATGTGTAGATATGTAACGTTGATTGCTGACCATCAGGTGAACTGTCTGCTTGGTTACTCGCTAATCCCATAAAAAAATAGACTGAATATTTCATGAAAAACTGGTATTACATTGCCTATGTGTACCTTTGCTTACGTTATGGGATAAGTGTCTAACATCACATTAACAGCTTACAAGTGGCCACTTGGCCTCTTTCAGTTTTGGACATTAAATACCACGTTTGCTTGATGCCGGTTGGAGACTTCAAATTTTTTGTGCTACCATTGCGCTTATTTGATTTATTGATGTTATGAAACTAAAGTACTTACAATTAATGTAATGTAATTAGTTTTTGAATGAACAACATCCAATAACAATTTCTTAGCAATATATATTATATTTTTTTAATATTCTGGGCCGATATTTGACCACTATCTTGACTGGTGGGAAGCGATGATGTTTTTTGTGTCTGACTACAATTAAGAAGCTGGAGTATACTCCAGCCTCTGTAGCCTACAGGCTTTATAGGCTACAGTTCTCGAACCAAGTCGCGGCCGAAAAGCTAACACAGACTAAATAACCTTGAACTGATAACATGTTTACATTAGATCAATTCTTACTAAATTTCTTTCATAATTATAAACTTGTATGACAACTTTAAGTTCCATTACAAATTCAATATTCTTTAATAATAAGTACAGAATATCATTACGACCGGTAGCATTACAGATCAAGCAGATCGCTCCACTTCTTACCCGTTATCAATAACAGTGGTGACCCGGTTTTTATCGCGATTTCTTAATTTATTGGTCCATCATATGTATTGATATGAGGTTAAATAAAGTGTATACTACATAAAGAACTTAAATCATGAACTTACAACTATATTAAAGCATTCCAGCAACATATCTGCGTAGATTTCTTTTTTGTCCATCCAATGGTATATGGAATGCAAGTCTTTATTTTGGCCCTGGGCAAGGCAGCAGCGGCAAACACCGACCACTTCCATTGTGTATGAATAACTTACATCCGAATAAACAGTCTCTATTAATATTTGTTAAGGAAAAAATTAGAAAACGTATCGTAAATTATAGAATTATAAATTATTATATTATTATATTATTATATTATTATAGAATTATTATATTATTATAGAATTTTTGACTGACGGCCTGACGGACGGTAAAATTCTTGTTTTTTACTTTTTATTTTTTTATCATTTAGGGATACCAGATTTGGTGATGTTTTGAGTTAACTCCGATTTTGGTAGAAAATTTTCCTATTGTGTATTTGATTTTTGTTTATTTCATTAATAATCCGTTTAGCTATATCGTAAAATAATACTGAAAATATCAGAAAACCTAGTAAAGTTAATAAAAGCAAACAAAATCCGTTCAAAAATTAATAGAATAGAACGTAAAAAAGCTTAAACTACTAAAATCAAAATGGCTGCCGGCTGGTCGTCATCGATTTTTGTTACCGCTATTGACGCTATGTAATTTTTCACTGAAAACGTGAAAATTCTGTGATTTTTGTTGTGGAAATGGTAATTTAGTGTGGTTAAGATGGAGTTTAACGAGATTGTGGTGAAGGAGAGCCCTGGGCTGTGCCGGTGCTGTCTCTCTGAAGGATGCTACAAAGACTTGGGCACCGAATACACTTGGATGAACGAAACTGAAGTCTACGCTGATATGCTTCTCGAATGCTTCGATATTAGTGTAAGTTCATAATCTAATAAGAAAAAATATTTCCATTGAAACGCAGTCAACAACCCTTTTTTTCCTAAAAGAAAATTCATTGAATTTTTTGTAATGTTTTGTGTTGTAAAAAACTGATCTCATGCAGCATGAAGATAGACCTTAAATAAAGCAAGGTGAGCTTTAATTCAGAATACTGCATTGATCCAGTTGTAACCAAATTGAAAATTATTAAAAGTAGTTAATTGAAAGACAGATTGTTTCATGTATCAATGTTTGAAAACACATGTCTTATTAGAAGACCTATGTCATTCTAAAACACAAACACAGGTCAATTAATGTAATATTGTATTATAAATATGCTCACCACACAGAAAATCCTAGTGAAAGGCAAGGCACCTTAATATTGAGCTAATCCACACCAAGCAAGCTTAGTGATTAATGCTAAAACCTTTTCCATATGAGAAGACTCTTTTGGTCAGTAATGTCCACTTATAGGCTGGTGACGATGATGATTGTGATGAAGGCAAACTAAAAAAAAAATACTGACATCAATATTCCCACCTTTATGCTACTTTTAAATAAAATTCTCAATATAATTTAGATCACCCAACATAATGAAGGTCCAAATGGTCCGAACCGCCTCATCTGTGAAGTCTGCATCACTCGGTTGCGGGATGCTTGTAATTTCAAGAAGCAGGTCATGGACTCTGAGAAGAAGTTCATTGATATGATGGGCAGAGGGGAATTTAGGCCTAAAAGTGAGTATTTATACAATAAATAAAAAAAAAACAACCTAAAAAGCCATTATGTTATGTTTCCCAATATTTTAAACGATCTACATTTCTAATAGTGAGTATTTAGCATAAGATATATCAAACTGTCAAACACCAACGATCACCGGTGACTGCAACCTATTGTTCTATAATTGTGTCTACAAAACCGGTACTCGACGAGTTAAAATGTTTTGATCAATGTCATTCATGGTGGCCAGCAGGAGACATAGTGCATAGTGCATATGTGTGTACACAAACAGGTCTATTCCCTTTCCTTCTATTACATAGCAGATGTGGATTATTCTATTACATACATAGCAGATGTGGATTTTCCCAATTTTTAAAAATATCTACGAATTCAAAAAGAAAATTATATTAAAAGGTTTAGTTTGAGGAAAACCCTGAGGTGATAATGGCATCTTTCTCGATCTTTTGTTCTTCATCTTTTTTTTATATAGTTGATGGGCTGACGTTTTACCACTATCTAGCCTGGTGGTAAGCGATGATGCGGTCTATGATGGGGCACGTCCTCCCCAAAGCAACCTATTCACTCGGGCTCGGGCCTGACCCCCAGGTTCCTCATTCAGGAAATACAGACTCCGGCAAAGAATTCCACTCCTTAGCAGTACGCACAAGGAAGCTTGATGCGAAGCGCTATGTGCGTGTGGGTGGCGATATCTGCCATGAATCGGTGACACTTCGCCGATTGTCTTGTATTTTATTATCCTCTATTGAACAGAAGTCAAATATTGTGGGGTATTTTATAGGAAGTTACATATTGTCGTTGTTATTTATTGTACTTATGACCTCTTGGACTGGATTTTTTCGATCTCTTTGACTGGATTTTAGTGTTACATTGTTCTCGCACAATCCAAAAAATTGTATTGTGAACCTGATTGAAAAAGAGTAACCTATGGAGTTTCTTGCTCGTTCTTCATAGAAATCTACACCTTGGAATGAGCAAATAGCTTCACTATTAATTTTTTATTGACGTTCTAAAGTGCCTTTCTGGTCTAATTGAAATAAATGATTTTGACTTTGAATAAAAACTTATTTTATAAATTACAGTGTTGATCTACCAAACACAGATGAAGTGTGAAGATCCAGTTGTGGAACAGATAGAGAATGCCAATGTGGAATATCTGGAGGATGAGATTGAGTTTGGTGATGGTAAGTGGCTGTTTGTCTTTCGTACAGAATTTAGGGTTTCAATGGCTATGTGGTAGATATAAGATGCGCTGTGTGACGACACGGTACAATAGATGCCTAATTTTTATTTTAATGCCCGTCGGGTGGATTATTTTAAATCATTATACACGTATTTATTATTTTCTTACAGAAACGAATACTTTCGACGATATTGATTTGAAATGTCGCGTGACGTCACTTTTATGTACATTTTATACGTAGAAATGACGTTTTAGCCCCCACTCCTAAGTATTGTTTTATTATACGACAAAATAAAAAAATACGTGTCTAATATTTTTTCAATACCTAACTTACGGACTAATTGGATTTTTAATTTTCATACCATTTCATCATCCCAATTCATGCCCTCGCATTGGATTGCCCTAGACAACTGCACATTTCAAACTGCAAAAAAATTCAAAGCAATCGGTTTAGTAGTTACGGCGTGAATGCGGAACAAACAAACAGACTCACTTTCCGATTTATAATATTAGTAAGGATTAACACCTTACAGAATAAAAACCTTCCAAATTCTCTTTCAGATGACCTTCTAAAAGACTCTGACTCAGTGGAGGCCTCAGTGTCAGATATCACAGTAAGCGCTCTACCCATTAAAGGCAAGCGAGGTAGGCCCCGCAAGGCCACACCAGTCAAACCAGAGAAACGGGCCAAAGTTGCCAAGATGGAGGACAAGCCGAAAACTTCTAAAGCTGTTGCTAAAGGTAGGTCGCTTTTTTAATTAAATAGACGGTGGTGTGCTGTGTTTTTTTAAATGTGTTTTTGGCCAATATTTATTCGTTCTAATTTGATTGATATCTAACCTTCTTATAGCTTTTAATCTTTGGATTGGGATTGATCTTTAACCGTTGTTCTCTTGAATTTGATTTTCTTGAAGATTTTGAAATAGGCCGGTTATCAATTTTGCTCATGGGAATACAGATTCATTAAATTCATGCCTAGGTATATGTGAACAATGGTATTAAGCTCCCAGTTTACTAATTACGACCAATGCATCAGTTTTACTATAAAATCCCTATTAGAAATTGTTTTAATTTAGAAAATCACAGCATATCACCACTTCGTTCTGACAATATTTCTGGTGTGAATCTCATCTTAAAGAAATATCATTCAAGATCTGAATCCACAATATTCTGTCCAATCGTCGTTGAGAAATGTTAAACCTAAAACTGACAATTTTTTTTTTACATGTCAAAGAAGACTTTATATCAGAAATATTGTCCCATTATTATGTTAATTCAATTTGATTATTTCACTGAACATTTGAATTTATTGTGCTTATTTGAAACTAACTTGATGACTTGATACCTAAATTTTTATTCTCCTTATCACTTATAACGTGACGTTTTTTAAACAATTTTAAATGTAATACTCGACTTGCGTCAAGTGTTTATCGCGTTTCAATTGACACCAGAATTTTTAAATAAGCGGGTCTCAGATTCCTATGGTTTGAGCTCGATTTATCTGATCTAATTCTGATGGCTTAGTACGAGTTAGTTTTATGTTAAAAGTAATCGAAACGGGAACGCGTTCGGCGCTTTGATTGGTTGTTTCATTGGCACCGGCCAATCACAGCGCCGAACGTGTACTCGTTACGATGACTTTAAACGTAAAAGAGACTCGTACTAAGGCCTCTGTATTTTCATTATATTCTTGGTAATATCATTTTCAAATGCGGTATAACAATTAACCTCATTCGGTGTTCCGGCGTTTAAACAATTCGGTGAATAGACATTTTGTATAACATTAAATTAAACATTACGCATCTAAAAATTTGAAATTTTCTAATAAATTCTTCCACGAGTTATATGGTACGCCCAGGGCCGTCTTAGACCACGCTGGGGACCCTGGGAACACAATAATTGAGATGATGGGGATGAGGGTATGAAAATTAAATATCCAATTAGTCCATAAGTTAGGTATTGAAAAAATATTAGACACGTATTTTTTTATTTTGTCGTATAATAACACAATACTTAGATAAAACGAATTAAAGTTTAGGAGTGGGGGCTAAAAAGTCATTTCTACGTATAAAATGTGCATAGAAGTAACGTCATGCGACATTTCAAATCAATATATTGTCGAAAGTATTCGTTTCTGTAAGAAAATAAAAATTACGTGTCTAATAATCTAAAATTAAAATAATCTACCAGACGGACATTAAAAAAAAATTAGGCATCTACCCTATTGGGGGCCCCTGTGGAATATATTTTTTTTAACGTTATACACACTAAGATCACCCATACATTCTCCTGTGTCGTGGGTGCATTTACAAACACAATTTCACATACACATCACATCCAAACCCGGAACAACAATTTTATTTATGGATCACACGAAGATTTGCTTCATGCGGGAATCGAACCTGGAACACGTTGCGTGACTGCCGGTTGCCACGTACGTGTAACGGGTGTGTGTCTGTCGTAGAAATTATCGGTCTTTCGAGGCCCCCTGATAATGGGGGCCCTGGGCAAGGGTGGTATGGTGAAGACGATACTGGATATGCCAATTTTAGTAGATACAGTGATTAGAGTATTCTAAAAGATACCTCTGTTGGTTTTCCTGTTTCTCAGGGTAGCCAGGTACGAAATACTAAATTGTTTCTTCAACTTCATTTATTAACATAACAAACACTGCCAGTGCAGTGTCTTACAACAAGTACTATGCTTTAGTTAAATTTAATATCGTTGTATTAAAAAAATATATAAAACAATTTTTATCCATCTTTATAACAAATGGAATTGAATACTCATGGGTACCTGCCATTTTTTAAAGGCTTTTTTAATTTCTTTCAAAAACCTGACTACAATTAGGCACTGATTAAGGGGTCGTTATTGACCCCCCACGCTTGATTGACAACCATGTCTTATTTATTCCTTGCTATTTGCAACGTTGTTTCTTGAAGATGTGGAATAGAATCATGAATTAAAAAGTGAAAAATTCTTATTGAAGAGTCCAGGTTCTGACGAAATCTAAAAAGACAGACATCCCAAAGCATTCATTCTAATATAGCCCGTGAAACCTACCCCAAATGCGCCAAAGTGAAAGAGAGAAAGAAAGAGAGAGAGCGAATAAGGAGAACTCATACGAAAAATTTCACTTTTTAGGTGGCAAACGGTGCACAACAGAGGCACGGAGTAAGTCCTCGATCTCCTCGACACTGCGCAACAAACTTATGAAGAGAAATGCTATAATTGTTCTAGAATCTTCCACCGTCATCCCCTTCAAATGGCAAAGACATAACTACCTATGTTTCTTCTGCCACCTCTCCTTTAACGACACCAATTTACTCAAGGACCACACCATAACCGCACACACGAAATCTAATATCAAATCTGCTGTATTCTACTTAAGAAGGGACGAAAAGGTCAAAATCGACGTCTCTTTCGTCGAATGTCGAATTTGCAACGAGAAATTTGACAACTTAGACCTTATTATAGGACATTTAAAGGAGAATCATAGTGTTGGCTTCAATGAGGAGTACGGTTACGGTCTCATACCTTATTTTCTGCACAATGAGGTCTTTAATTGCGCCGTTTGTAAAGAAGAGTTCCAATATTTTTCCAAATTGAACCAGCACATGAATGAGCACTACGGGAACTATATTTGCGAATCCTGTGGCAAGTCCTTCCTAAGCCAGGATCGGTTACGATGCCATTCTTTGACGCACGGACAAAAATTCCGATGTAACCTATGCCCAGAGGCTTTTGACTCTATAACACAGAAGAATAACCACGAATCAAAAGTCCATAATAAAAATAGACTTCTTAAATGCTTTTATTGCGAAGATACCTTCCAAAATTACGTCCAGCGAAAGAAGCATCATATGACCAAACATGATGTTAAAGCCCCAGAATATCCATGCCCTGTTTGCGGTAAAATATTTCATATACAAAGCAAAATGCAGGTGCATTTAAAAGAGGTTCATATACGGGAGAAGAATTACTCCTGTTCTATTTGCGAACAGAAGTTCTTTTCGAAAAGTCACGTTCGCAATCATATGATCAAGCATTTTGGGGATAGGGTCTACCAGTGTGAGGTTTGTCAGAAGTCGTACGCTCGGAAACGTACTTTGAAGGAACATATGAGGATTCATAGCTCTAGTAAGAAGATTGTGTGCAGCGTTTGTAGTAAAAGTTTCGCTCATAATTGCAGCTTAAAGTTGCATGTGAAGATGCAGCATGCTGAGACTGGTGAATTGAAAAGTGACTTGGAATAATGAATAGACTGACTGTATTTAAGACCAAGCAAAGAGGGAGAGAGGAGAGAGAGATAGATATAGATAGAGAGAGAGAGAGAAAAAGAGAAATAGAGAGAGAGGCAGAGAGTGAGAAAGATGCATATAAACCATGTAGCACGCACTTTTTAATAACGTAACACTGAGAGATAAGCATATTGCCACTTACCAAAAACAAAACCGGAAAACTTACCTTGCTTTGCTCGGCAGTCGATTTGCGACCCCCCATGCGGCAGTCAATTTGATATAAATTAGGAATATACGAGAAATATTGCAGTTTCTTTCTATGTTAGAAATTATGAAACGAAAAGCATAGATTCTTTCTAGTATTCACTGATTATTTAAATCATAGACGCCGCCGTATGACATATACGTAACAATAATTGAATGTTTTTACTTATGTAATAATATTATTATAAACTATTTAAAAGAACAGGCTTCAAGCCTCTATTTTTAGGTCGGTTTATTAATGTACCTACTAAAAAACCTTCTCTTAAATATAACACAAACTTTTTGTCGCATCAAAATCGATTCAGCCAATCGCGAGATAATCTCGCACAAACATACATACATACAGGTCAAATTGAGAACCTCCTTCCTTAGAAACAAGTACAATGTACACACAGTTTTGGTGCCATACTAAGGAATAATCCGACGAACAACTTTATGTTATAATGCCGGGGCCACACTAACGGGAAATGCCATTAATTATCGCGATAATGGATATTCACCGTAGGTGTAGCCACAACTTAACGCGATAATTTTACAATGGCATTAACAATGCCGTTTGGCGTTAGGCGATAGCTCAGGTGGCGGTACATCAACGAGATGAACGCGAGAATTGACGCGATGAAGTGGCCACACTACGTATTTATTGTCAGTGTGCGTCGAGAGCGCATAGGGAGCGGACGTGTTTTTGTTTTTTGTACGACGGATTTGCAAATACGTATACAATGACGACGGAGTGGAGTAATGAAAAAGTAATCACTTTTATCGAGGTTCTGTAAACAGAACCATGCTTGTGGGATCCAAAATTAAATATAACTTACAATCATGATATATAGAGCTCTGTCGTCGTCCATCTTGATTGAAGTAAATTCAACACCGTTTGTATCGCCAATAATGAGCATTCACGTTGACCGTTAAAGTGTAGCCACCCACTTTGATGCCGTTAAAATTATTGCAATAATTATCGCGATAATGGACATTCACATTCAACGTTAGTGTGGCCCCAGCATTAGAAATATTCACCTTTTTTTTTCTTTGGGTACTTTTAATTTAATACGGCAACCGCCGCGTCACCGACGAGAGCGACGCTAGTGGGGGATTTGCTTTCAGCAGTTTTCTGTCGGCAGTCAAAGCCTTAAGAGTTTCTTTGCTTAAGTATGAAACATATTTTAATTAATAATAATTCCTAAAATTGCAGCTTTGATAAAATAACGTAGGTTTTGGAGCAACGGGATCTAT